TCAAAAACAGCTGAAACACATGAGGTATGCCCCAAATTGCAGCACGCAGATAATGGACGGGTAGTAGTGAGCATCTTCCATATTTGACAGGAGGACTGAGACAGAAGCGATTTCCCATTCGACCAATTTACCGCTCCCGAAGGCTAGAAGGCTTGGTTAGCAATGGAGGAGCCAATCCGGGATCTGAACCCTTGATGGCGCGTGATAAGCGTGCCACTTGTTACTTCACGACCTCTGCCGATCTGAACAGTCTCTTAATTTTTTCTCTCCAGAATCCAGTGGTCAAGTGTGATGTTGTGAATGTGATCTCCTCTCTTCAGGATTGTGCCATTAACCATGACTGGAGTAGGTTTGAAGGGGGAACAAAAATAGTATCTATTTTGATATTCTCCTTCCACGTACCTTGGGCTTTGTTTAGGGATCAGATCCCGGATTAGCTCTTGCCGGAGCAAACAAGTCTCCCATCTCTCCGTTAAGAGACTCGACTAGTAGGTAACAGACTCGTCAGGGAGGGTAAAAAAAACCTAGGCTGCCCCACAAGTCATTGTATAGGGTACATCGCATTCAGGCGCAGGTGGTGTAGTGACAAGTGGCACATGAGCGCTGTCGGGGGGGGGGGGGCTCGGATCGGATCCCACCCGGGCCAATCAAGCCTTCTATCCGGAGTCGGTAAATTGGTACCAGTTTCGTCTGCGAGAACCCTGAATTATGACCTGCGGAAGTCATTGTATAGGCCACATCTCGTTCAATAAGCTACTGCGATTCTGAGTGGAAGCAGAAGTGCATGGCTCATCCTAGAAAAAGACTGATCAGCGCGAGATAATCCTCGGAACTTGTAGTCTTTCTCACCGAAATATTACCGTTTCAAGTTTAAAATTTATGATTCATGGCGACCGGCACGGTTTCACTGTCAGCGTTTCATTTCTACCCATAGCGAGTGGTTCGAGTCAGTGGTGGCTCGTTTCTTGACGGATTCACTGTAAGTTGTACAACTGAGATATTTCCACAAGATTTCTGAGTTGTGGGTAAAAGCCTCGACCCGGTTGGGACCCGGATCCGCTTTCCGGGCGACTGTGCTACCTGGGAGAGGACAAGACAATCGTCGTTCGTCGCGTCGCCGCGTGTCATTTCGTTGAATTCGAGCAAACCCAAGACTCCATGACGGGCGATATCGAGTTTTCCCGTCCCTTTGGCACTCTTCTTCAAATGGCGAACATGGCAACTCGTCTGTCGGGCGCGGCGTCGTTGGCCACGCCCACCAGCGCGTCACACTACGATTGTCTTGTCATACCTCCCTTACCTTCTCAGCTCAGTGTGATACTTTCGTTCCAGCGAAGGTGTTTCTAATCGAATCTGAATGTAATTTCAACTAATTTTCATCAGATTTTCAGGAAGCAATTATTTTATTTTCAGCCCAGTGTGGAGTACTTCGGTATCGAATGTGACGAAAATGGTTCGAAGGAGCTGCATGTTTTGTGAAAAGTTGTATGAGCAGGATATGCTGCGTTATGTTTCCATAAGTAAACCACATAATGCTATCCTGATCACGTTGATGATGGTGTCGTCGTCGGCTGATTTGGAGCAAATGAAAGTCATCTATGAAAAAATCTCGTCGAAGAAACACATGTGCCACAGTCACTATGTTGATGCTGTGAGTTTGTTAGTGGAACGTATTCTGGTTCGGTTTGGGAGGGGCATCCGCACTTTCCCTATTTCCCAGTGTGTCTAGCCGTCGAATAGGGAATTGTGAAATCATGTAAAACATGAAATGATGTCAGCCACTTTGTAGAAACTACTAGTAAACTCCTGTAAATCCATGAGCCGGACGATGGGAAGCAGCGAAATAGCAGAATGCCCCTCCTCAATCCTCTAGCCGAACAGTGCCCATATTTTTTACATTGGAATTTGCTGGAAAGTGATCTCGCCCTTGGGGTTGAAGCGCTTTTGTGAAAGACTTGGAAAATCCAATAGCTCCTCCAGGTAAAATGGTCTTAAACCGGGTACATAGGTTAGTTGGACCATAGCGCGGGTAGAACTGCTGAATCTGGCGCAGGGCAGGTCGTACATTGACGGTTCCCAGCGAAGAGTGTCGTTTCGGCCGCCGAAGGGGGAGGTAGGGTGCGTTACTGTCCTTTCCTTCCCCCCCCCCTCCCATTAACCACGATTCTGGGGGGAAAATTATGGAATAAAAAAAAACTCGGGAATGTGGAACTTGTGAGAATCTAGGGTGGTACTGATGGACAGGATGGGGGATGAGAGGGGGATCTTACCAGAGATAGCAGTCTTGAGAGGGGGAGTCGTATTTTGCAAAGGTTTCCCCAACGGCAGGACGTGCCCGATCTGACACAGGGCACATAATTATTGAGGATTTTGGTCGAGTGCGTACGATTCCCCCTTTTTAGGGGGGTGCACGACCTCCCCTACTTCCCTTCTCATCAAGCTGTCGGGGGAGGGTATATAAAACATGTAGCACATGTGAAACATGAAAACCACGAGGAAAATGCGACTTCCCTCCCCATCTTACCTACCACCTTCTGAGATTTTGCCAACTTACTTTTTCTTACCACTTTTTCCGGGAGTTCCCTGAATTCCCTACTTCCTTCCCACAAATTTTGCTGTTGTGGGAGGGGTGTACAGTACGCATGAAACAGGAGAAACCGCGAAAAGTCAACAACCTTTCCCAGAAGACTAGAGGCAAATACGACCCCTCTCTCAACAACGAGCAAATACGCTTCTCCCCCCCCCTTCACAGCGTCCCTGAAACAAGAAAAATCAATCGTCAAAAAATTTTTCAGACCAAATATTACGGCCCTCTCCCCTGCGACCAAATACGACCCCTGTCGGGGAATCTCCCACAATGATGTGCTCTGATCTGACAGCTTGTGCTCCTGCTCGATCTTCGCAGAAAGTAATCTTTCGCTTCCTATATCAATAGGATTGCATAGAACAGAAACAAATTCGAAAGAGGGTTCATCATCGCAGTGCTGAAATTGTGATGTCAGTAGACCCCTTTCGAATGTGGGATCTAGTTACGACTCCCTCTCACAACCTACCTACCCCTTCTCTCAGATTCTTCCATGATTGGGGAGGTGGAGGCGCTTCTCGAAGCTTAATACGACCTTTCCCGTTTTACTCAGCAACTACATACGACCCTCTGATGGGATTTCGCACACGTTGATAGTGTGGTCATTCAGAACAGATTTATAAATTTAATGTTTTGATCGCTTTTACAGGCTAAATATCTGGCCGCGGAGATGGCAGCAGTTGGAACTCGATTCTCGTACTACAACGATTCAACAGCGTATGTAGGGCACAGCATATCGTCAATATGAGGCCTGAAGATTTCATTGCATTGTTCTGGGGATTCCTAAACGAATTACATGAAAGACATTTGATGTAAGTCTGACAGAACCTTTTTTATCACTTATCCACCAAGGAGGGAGGACGTATAAGTCAGATAGTGTCCAGTGGAGAATGATGTCGTACCTCTGAGGCGCTGCGTGGTTCGTCTTCCGTAAATGAATGGATAATGACGCTGTTTGGCTTGGGAGGGGCAGTTTCCGCTTCGCTAATTCATTTTGATATTCCATGTTAATTCACTCATATGAAACTGCAAGATGGTATAAGCTACAAGAATTTAACTGGTCCTTTCAAAGAGGGCATATTAAGACTTGCTGAGTACCATGCAGTGCTCTACGCAAACGATTTGGCTTGAAGTGTTCTGCTATTTTCAGAGTACGGTAGTGATCACTGAAAGAGACATCTGCCAGTTTATGAATGACGCCCTTCGTCGTTACTATACCCAAAACGGGTGGAATACGGTCTCTCAGATTGACGAAAAGGTGGGGCAGATCTCGCAGCTGTTGTACTGCTCCAGGAGGCTCTGAGTCATACTTAAATCAGACTTTCAGATGGACTACGAAGAAGAAATGAATGAAACGAGTGCGAGCGAACTCATGGAGCAACAAGGACCGGGATTTCCGAGCTCTTCGGATAATCCTGCACCAGAATGTGTAATGCTGATGACAAAGAAGCCCTGCACCAGTCGTTGAGAGCAAATGAACCCATACATACACTGGTACGCCTTGGGATATGTTCATTCTTGAAGGCAAAGGCACGATCGCTGGGGCGGGTGGTTGTCGCCAACGTCATTGGTGGGAGGGCTGAATGGGGTGTGGCCAAGCGCCCTCTTGCAGCCCTCCCACCAGTGATGCTCGGACAACCGCCCGCCTCCTGCAGTCGTGCCCACTGCCTTTGAAGGCATACTGTGATTGTCTGACTAGGTAACTTCAGGTGAGCAGGACTGCAAATGCAGAAGTGCAGCACTTCTTAATGTGCGCGATAACTAAGCACAAGCGTGTGACAATCTGTTGTCCTTTCGATCCGGATGTTCAGTACGCCATACGCACTCCATAGTCGCGCCATACGGTCTACCATACGCTTAACCATAGCCCTACGCGCTGCTGATCTGTGCCGTCTGTGATGTACGAATTGCATATCGAATAGCTTGCGGAGATAGAATTAGTCTCAGGCTAATTATTCCACCAGCTGTTTGACACGCAATAACACGCCACGAGGGGCGCAGACAAGTTTCGTGTGAATAGGGATACTGTTGGACGTATGGCGTGAATATGGCGTGCGTATTGCGTCCTACTGCAGAATTGCCGCGCGCTTAGACTGGTAGGAGTGCCATGCTTCGAGAGAAGCTTGCTCACCTCGCACATCCGCCTCGTGGGAAGTCATACACTGTGTCTTTCAAGGCAGTGGACACAATGGCTGGGGTGGGCGGTCTGTGCCACCGTCATTGGTGGGAAGGCTAAGTGGGGTGTGGCCAAAGGCCGTCTCGTAGCCCTTCCAGCAATAACGTTTGCAGACCCCAGCCATAGTGCCCAGTGCTTCTGAAGCAAAAACTGGTAGAAAATGCTCCAATTTAGGCGGACGCCATCAAACAAGAAACTGAGAAGTACGATGACAAAGGATATGGTGCACTGCGACAGCCTAAAGTGGAATGCGAGGAGGCTCCTGAACAACCGCTCAGCACTGAAACGGCATGTCCGATTGTGATGGACGTGAAGCCTGAAAATGACAACCTGTTTGTGAAAAAGGATATCGATAACTCAGAAGTTATGGTTGTAAGTAGTGCTTTAGTATTTTCGGCCCATTCCGACCAGCGTCTAACTGTAAATTTTAGGTTGACGCCGAAAGCGAACCCATGCAGTGTTCGCCAGAAGAGTCCTCAGCAGAATCGTCTTCGGTGCCTGTACCAGAGTTGGATGCAACGGATCCCCTTCTTCTCAAGCAATATTTCCTGATAGAAGGCGAAATGCTGACGAAACTCTTCAAATTCTGTCCCGAATGTGGCAAACAGTTGGCGAAAAGTCGTCTGTGTCCAGTCGGCACCGCGGCAGTGATGCGTTACGTCTGTGCGACCTGTTCCCTGCGTTATCCACATGTAAGACGCTGGGAAAGTCAACGCCGAGCTGTGGAGCACAAGAAGGAAAAAGCGTACAAGGGCGATCTCGAAGCCGCTGTGGCAGCTATAACTACGGGCCTGAGATATACGGTATTTAAAGCCTGTTTTCGGCGTGGTTCGGCGACGGGAGGGGCATTTTGCACTTTCGCTGCCTCACTACTTCAGGTTTACAAGTCTCACTCTGGTGAAACCTGTAAACTCTTGTGAAAGGGAGCTCGTCGAGTCATCATGGCAAAACCTGTCAGCTCTTGTAAGCTCATGAAAGAGCTCTGTAGATGGCTCGACACGCCACGGGAAGTAGCAGAGGTGCAAAATGCCCCCCCCC